TCGGGGGGGTTGTCGGTGAGGGGGCATTGTCGGTGGGGGCGGGGGTTGGCGGTGTCTGGGTTGAGTGTCCCGCTCTCCATACGCCCTCCCTTCTCCCTCGGTGGCCCCTGGGCCTCAGCACGTCCTTTCCCCGCAGGGTGTCGGTGCCGCTGCTCAAGATGCTGGACCAGATGCTGGCCAACGGCTGCTTCGACATCTTCACGGCCGAGGAGGAGTGAGTGTTCGTTTCTTCCCGTGTCGGCTGCTTGACCGCTGACGCCTCGTGATTCATCTTCTAAAGAAACAGCGACCAGGCCAGAGATCAGAATTTTAGGGATTATTTCCTAGTGTGTTCAGGTCGGTGTCTACATGCCCTGAAAATGCCCCCGTGAAGCTGGCTGGGCAGCTGAGGGGGGAGCAGCGACGGGCCTGTGGCTGCCGCAGTGGACGGAGCGGAGCCAGCTGGTGGAGGCACCAGGTGTGGCATCTCTGGCCTCTGCTGGTTCCTCTCAGGTTTGGTTGGGACTTTTTCCTCTTTGCTGTTCTCTTCATGGTCACCCTGCCCGTCTAATTTTCAGTATTTCTCTCTCTTCCTGGACAATTCCAAGGACTTGGAACACGATGGGCCCATTTGCATTTTTAGTTGTTGTTTTGTTTTAGTATTTGTTACCCACAGTTTTACTACTTTCTTGTCTCTTGTTGCTCCCAGATCCCTATCTGGGGTCTTGTTCTTTCTGCCTAATGAACATTCTTCAGAATTTCTCCTAGTGAGGTCTGCTAGGAAATGCTTTCTCGTTTTCATTTGCAGTGTTTTTTCACAGAACTCTAGGCAGCTGTTTTATTTCAGGACTTAAAAAATGTCTTCTTGCCTGGTTGGTGTGGCTCAGTGGTTGGAGTGTCAGCCTTCACATCGAAGGGCCGCAGGTTCATTTCCTGGTCCAGGGCACATACCTGGGTTGCAGTTCAATCCCTGGCCCTGGTCGAGGTGGTCAGGGCGTGTGCAGAAGGCAGCCAACTAATTGGTCTCCCCCCTCCTCTCTTTCTCTCTCTCTCTCCCCTTCTCCCCCCTCGTTTCTTCCTCCCACTCTTTGTTTCAAAAAAAAGTCAGTGGGAAACAATACACTCAGGTGGGGATTAGCGTGTACACACACACACACACACACACACACACGTTTATTCCGACGCCGCCTGTAACTCGGCGTCACCTCTGTCTCGAGTGGGGAGCCTTTTTCCTGCCGAGGGCCACGTGGATATTTGTACTCATTGTGGGCCGTACAGAATTACCCACGTAAACGTTACCTCTGTATTTGGGCAAACATTTAATTAACTCGCCCCTCATGCCTTGGCAGGGCCAGACTGAAGGCGTTCTTGGGCTGCCCACGGCCCGCGGGCTGGCCATTCCCGCCCCGGTCTAGACGCCTGGGCCTTTGGAAGCGGTCTGGGTGCTTCCTGCCCCTCGTACCATTTCCTCCTTGGCGTCCCTGTAGTCACTCATGTGCCTGGCTGTCAGGTTTCCTACATGTGTCTTAATGGGGATTTGTTAAACTCGGCTCTGTGGTTCCCTTGGCTTTCATTTGTTCTAGGAAGTTTTTAGCTGTCCCACCTCTTGGGGTTTTGTCCTCGGGGCACTAGCTCCCCCCACGCCCCCAATTCTCGGGGATCCCGCCGTGCCTGCTGCACCCCTGCACCGGCAGCCGTTCCTGCCTTTGCGCCATCGCTCGGGCCTATCTCCACCTGCTGGTGTCTGAGACGGGTCATCCCTGCGCGTGTATTTGTGCAGGACCTGTTTTGGGGTTTTGTAGTTTTCAGGTGTCTCCTCGCATCTGGTTCGTTTCCAGATCGGAAGGGTCCCTCACGCTTCTGTGTGGCCGTGGGCTGCAGTCCTCATGGGTTCCCATGCAGTTTCTAGTTTCCCCATGGGCCTCATTACTTGTGGTCTGGATGTTGCGTCTGAAATGTCACGTGAAAGGAGCCTGAGGCCTGAGAAGACGACGCTGCAGGCGGGACTCCGCTCCCCTTGCAGGCGCGAGGGGGCAGCAGCCAGTGGGAAGGGTCTCTGGACTGTGAGGTCCCCAGCGGCTGGGCCAGGCTTCTGCTGCTGCCTGACGGGCACTGGTTGTGCGGCACCAGAGCCCGTTAAGGTGACCTGGTCCTCACACCCCCTGCCTGTGCTGTCCTTGCAGCCACCCCTTTTGTGTGAAGCTGCTGGAGCTTTGTAAGGCGGAAACCAGCAAGTCCAAGGACGTCCAGAAACTGCGGTCCAGCATCGCCGTGTGAGTCCACGCGGGCTCGGGGAGGGGGTTGGGAAGCCCTGAGGCCGTGTAGAGTCCTGAGAACAAGAGGGAAGCTGTAGCCGTGTCCCCAGCCCTGACCACGTGTGACCTTGGCCTGAGGGGAGGCGGAGTGTCCCGACCCTGGAGATCTAGACAGATCTGGACGGTGGTCTGGATGCCTGGATCTGCAGTGATTGTGGTGACTAAACTGGAGTGCCACCCTGAGGCCTGGGGTCAGCACGGCTCTGGCATCTGTGGCACCGTGGGCGGCTGGCGGGGCCGAGGCCGCTCACTGGGCGCTGCTGGCAGGTTCTGTGGGATGGCGCAGTTCCCCGGCGGCGTGCGGAGGAAGGTCCTGCTGCAGCTGCTGCTCCTGCTCTGCCACCCGTTCCCCGTGGTGAGTGTGTGACCAGCAGCCCCCCTCGGGGTTTCCCAGGGACGTGCGGCTGCGTGTTCTGTGCGCTGGTGCCAGTGTCGCGGGTGCCGGTGTCGCAGGTGCGGGTGTCGTGGGTGCTGGGGCGAGCGGCCGCAGAGCGGGCCCTGGTCCAGGTAGGTCGCTGCCTCACTCCACCTCCTGAGACAGCAGGAGGCGTATGGTGGGGTGTCCTCCGCTGTGTGGACCCTCAAGTCTCAGGAGCAGCAGCTGCCGTGTGACTTTCACGGTCTTTCTGTGGGGAGGGTTCTGCCCTTGAGGGGCAGCAGGTGATGCACAGTGAGGCCCTACCCCCCACATCTATCCCCGACTACCCCGCCTAGGAGGCCCTGGGCAGGGGGGTCCTGGAGCTCCACACACCGAGTGATGCCTTCACCCAGAACTGCCCACTGCAGGGTCAGGCCTCCTAGAAATCCCTGCCTTTGGCTGAAAGGATGCTCTTCAGGGAAACGTCACCTTTTCCTAAGGGTGACAGGAGCCCGCACCTCCAGCAGCACCCGTCAGAAAGGCAGGTCTCGGGCCACTGACCTGCTGGCTTATACCCTGGGGTGGCTCTGTGAAATGTCCCCACAGGGGATCCTAGGGCAGAAACAGGGGGGACGTGTCCCTGACGAGGGCAGGTCTTCCAGGAGGCACGTCAACAAGAACTCGGCCGGCCTGTCAGGCTCTGGAGGGATCGCAGGGGGCTGGGGGCCTCGTGCTGTCGTGGGAACGCGTGCGGTCACGGCCAGGTCTCCCAAGTTAGGATCCGAAGTCAGCACGTCCTTCAGGCTTCAGTCAGACTCCGGGGTCCCCCTCTCGCTAATGCTCTGTCCAACCAGATCCGCAAGACGACAGCGAGCCAGGTGTACGAGATGCTGCTCACCTACAGCGGCGTGGTGGGCGCGGACGTCCTGGACGAGGTCATGGCCGTGCTCAGCGACACCGCCTGGTGAGTGCTCGGCTCCTCCCCTTCTCAGGACGCGGGTCGTGCCGACCTCCCTTCCTGACCCCCGTCTCTCCCCAAATCCCCGAAGGGAAAGGGACGGGAAAAGCGAGGCTCCCAGCCCTCGACGGCCTTGGCTCTGGGTTTGAGGCGGCCGTGGTGGCGGCTGTAGGCTTCTCCCCGCTTGTCCAGCTCAGGCTCTCCCCTCGCACCCAGGGGGCTGTGCCAGCCACGTGTGGAGCAGCAGGGCGCCATTTTCAAAGTGAAATTATTTTTCTCACGTGCAGATTTTTAAAAAATCCTTATTGTTGAAAGTATTACTATATATGTCCCCTTTCCCCCCATTGACCACCTCTAGCACCTCCCCCCACACTCCCCTCCCCACCAAGTGCAATGTTTTTTAAGTGAAATGAGCAAATGTTTTTGTGTCTCGTTGGGCGCGATGGGCACTGGTGCACCCAGGCCTCCTGCACGGGGACTGGGCTCCTGCCCAAGCTGCAGTCAGACGCAGTGGGGTGCAGTGTGGGAGGCTCGTCCTGCGCGAGGGTGTGCTGTGTCCGTGTGGCGTGGCTGCAGCGGGGGCTGCTGTGCGCAGCCTTGCCTCAGTGTTGGGCAGAGGGGGAAGGTTCTTCCCTATAATTTAATCCCTTTCCGTTTAAAAAAAAATTCCCCAGCCTGGCCAGCGTGGCTCAGAGGCTGAGAATCGACCTATCTATAAACCAGGAGGTCAGGGTTCGATTCCCGGTTGGGGGCACATGTCCGGGTTGCGGGCTCGATACCCAGTCGTGAGTGTGCAGGAGGCAGCCGATCAATGATTCTCTCTCGTCATTGATGTTTCTATTGTCTCCCTCTCCCTTCCCTTTTCTCTAAAAATCAATAAAAGCGTATTTTAAAAAATAAAAACTAAGGTTTGTGGCAGGTTTGACTAAAGCGAGTGGGCCTTTCTTGCAGCTGAAGCCAACCTGTTCTCTCCCCACAGGGACTTGGAGCTCCTGCTCGTAAGAGGCCATCGGAACCGCCTGTGTGACCTCCTCGGGGTGCCCAGACCTCAGCTGGTCCCCAAGGTTAAGTGCACGTCCCCCTCGGGCAGTGCCAGGGACACCCGGGGCCCTTTCCGGGCCAGGCCCCCCAACAGCTCCGACGAGCTACTGTCCTGAGCTCCAGCCGAGACACCTGGTCGTCCTGGCTTTCAGGACCCGGGGAGGGCAGCACCCACGTGGCAGTGCCCCCCGGGAGCCTGGTGCAGGTGCAGGGCAGGTGCTGATCTGTCAGCCCCCAGGGGACACTCGGGCGGAGGTGGCAGGAGGAGCCTTGTGACACTCCTGTCTCCTGTGTGCAGGCCACGCAGTATCAGCTTCCCAAGTAAATGTGCTTTTTCGTTTTTATTAGGAAAATTTTGCACTCAGATGGGTGTGGTCAGGGAGAACAGATGTCAGCTCCTGGGATGTCTGGGGAAAAGGCCCAAACTCGATTTCCTGTGGGAAGCAGGGCCCAGAGGGGGCGGGCGATGGTGCTGGCCGTCCTGACGAACCCTGTCGTGTGCGCTGCAGCCTGCTGTCCGCTGAGGCCAGTCCTGGGAGCCGAGTAGCGCTTGTGCCGTCTGCTGGGAGGAGCCGCCAGATGCCGCTCAGGACAGGGAACCTGGTGCAGAACCCCGGCCCTTGCTGAAACGTGTGCGGAGTTCGTCACCACGGAGGCGCTCTTTATTACGGGCGCCTGCGCTCTACTGACCCTGTGTCGGTGCTTTCGTCTGTTTAAACGCGAGTCCACATCTTATAAATCACGTGCTGAGCAGTCTGTCTGTCTGACACTGTTGTGAGCGAGGGTGATGGGGGGGAGAGCCTAATGGGGGCGTAAATTGGAGGCCAGTGAGAGTCCTAGGCTCCCTCCTGCTCTGCCTGCCCACCTGAGTCTAGGTGAGGGGTCTGGAGGGAATCCCCGGCTCTCACAACCTACCCTGTAGCTAGAAGCGGCAAGAGCAAAAGGTCACACGTGTGCACCTGAGGGCTGGGAAGCAAGAGAAGCTGGGACCCTCTGCACGAGGGGGAATGACCAAGGCCTCCTCCCCGAAAGATGCGGCCAGAGCATCCCTGTCTCGGGCTCCACCTGGTGCTGGGGTGGAGGGAGGACGCTCCCCTGGCCACCCACAGCTCGAACACGGAGCCCCAGACCAGGGGCAGACGAGCAAAACCCACTACCCCTCTGAGAAGGCTGGCTGGTCCCCACAGATTTAAAATGTAAGCTCACGTTCCAGAAATTTTTAAAATCAAACCCCAAAAGATACAAAATGAGTTTATCAAGAAGAGCTTAAAGACAAAATGCTCCATGGATTCAACATCCTCGTGGACACCGCTGAGGAGAGAACGCGGACAGGAAGACCCGCAGAAACTGTCGGGAAGAACAGCCGGGAAACGTGAAGGCAGAGTCAGGAGACGCCTGAGAGGAGGGACCTGTCCCGGGGGCGGGGGTGCGGACCGTGCAGGCGCCCACACTTGTTGGGAGGCAGCCGTCCTCGATGCAGAAGCCCAGCCGTCCACACAGGACGGGCTCCCCCGCTGGCTGCTGTGCACACGGTGGTGCCCCTGCTGTCCGAGTCCCAGCGGCCGAGTCGAGAGGTTGGGTCAGCTCGCCCTGGGGCTGAGGACACGACTCCACGTGGCAGGACCGAGCGCCGAGTGGAAGGGATTCAAGGAGGAGAGTGAAACCATAGGTGGGACGGGCTCCAGCCTGTGGCTGGTGTTTCTCTGTTGACATCGGGGCTGGATGGGTCTCTGCTGTGGGGACAGCCCTGTGCAGACCCCTTTCCAGGTGTGACGGCAAGCTGTCCCCTTGTGGATGGACGTCAGCAGCAGGAAAGGGTCTCAGACATGAGGAGGAACGCGGGACCAGGAGACCCCACATTTAGGGAAAAGCTCTTTGGGACTTGTTCTCCTGGCCTGGGTGGGGTCACTGGGAGGGGTGGGGTCCTAGGACTGGGAGGCTGGACGCAGACGGTGCCAGACCAGCCAGACGGTGCCAGACCAGCCATACAACCTCAGCTCCTGCCCAGTGCCTGCAGCAGCCAGTCCATCCCCGGGAGTGGGCGGTAACTGCCAGCTCCCCTCATTTTTGCTCCGTTTCCAACTGAGACCAACCAGAGGAAACCAGATGTGCCCCCCTTCCCGCCACAGCCCCCAGCAGGCCCCTGAGCCCCTTGCCCTCTGCTGCCGATGCCCCACCACTGGGCGCTGAGCACAGCTGTTCTCGCCGGGTGGTCTGACTCCCACCGTCTCCTGAGGTCAAGCGCAGCAGCTGCACCCCAGGGTGCTCACTTTGACGGGTGAGCGCAGTCCACCCAGATGGCGCCAGATGGCAGTGCCCACACCCAGGCACTTCACGTGGCGAATGTTCTCAGAAGAGGCCATGGTGTGTGGGCACGTGTCAGGTGCCCGGGGAGGGTGTGGACCCCACCCAATCAGAACACACCCCTCCTGCCCCCCCTGCCAGGTGAAGGCCTCCTGACCCTGCCCCCCACGCGGGGTCTGCCATTCCCACACGGCCACATGGCTGTCCTTCCCGACGGCCCCCGATCCCTTGTCACCTGCAGGACTCGATGGCTGCTGTGGCCTGTCAGCTGAAGTGAAGGAAGTCCTGGCCCTCCTGCAGGTGCAGCGACCTCAGGTTGTCCTCAAATGCACCCCCAGTCAGGTCCTGTGGGAGGAGCAGCAGGTGGAGTCCCACAGAGCCTCCCTCCCGGGCTCAGGGCCCCCCGTGGCCACCTGTCAGGAGGTCCCCTCTGAACTTGTGCTGCACTGTTGGGAGTCGGGGGGCAGGACAGGAAACAGCGAGAGGCCACAATCTCCTATAGGCTGGGTCACCATGGGAGGTTGGGGTCCTGAGAGACAGCCCCTCCCTAAGAAGGCAGCTGACCCCCACTGCAGGGACTCGGGGACAGTCCCTTCTCACCCCTTTGTCCAGGGCAGAACCAGGAGCCCCCAGCCACCTCTTCTGCAGGGGACACAAGTGGGAGGTGGCCCCTGGGGACGAACTACCACTCGCCCAGCTGCTGACGGATCCCCCTGCTGCCTGCTCTGCTGTCCCTGCAGCAGAGGGCCAGGACCCTGCAAGGAGGGTCAGGACCCATGTGATCCTACAAGGTCACTGAGGTTACCCCAGGGGCGGGGCGGGACTTGGGGGCAGGTTCCTAAATGCTTCAGCGTGGCCTGTTCAGGAATGCTGGCTTTGGCCAGGCCACCTAACCCCAACCCCAGCCCTGGCCCTGATCCCATCCCCCAAGCCCTCTTGTCCCCAGGCCTGCCTCTCATCCCAGACCCCTGCTGCCTCCATAGCCTGGCTCCCAAAGACACAGCTGGCACACCCGTGGGTCCCTGGCCTTGGGCAGCACGCGACAGGGACGGTGCTGCTTGGTTACCATGCTCGTTCCCCTTGGTGTCACGCGCGGGTCAGACCCAGCGCGGGAATCGGCCTGGCTATGCCCCCCGGGCCGTCACGCTCCTCCTCCTGCGACTCCTGGGCGCTGCTACACGTATTTAAATGACAACCACTCTGCGTCTCTCATCATTAATGTTTCTATCTCCCTCTCGGAAATCAATAAAAGTATATTTTAAAAAGAAATGAAAACTACTCTACTTGGAAAACATCTGAAATGTCCAGATTCTGTCCGCCACTTGCTGTCCATGCTCAAACCCCCCCTCTTCTCTTCCGTTCCCGTGCTGCTCCTGAGATGTTACAGGAAAACTGGGCTCCCCCTGAGGTGGCCCAGGGGTCGTGGGCAAGGCTGCCAGCCCTGGGCCTGCAGAGGGGCCAACAGAAAGGCCTGCTCCGGACTGGAAGGGGCTCCTGAACAAGTGCAGCTGGACGCGTCCATTAGCTGACATCGCCCGTTAACAGCATGAAAAGGCCAGCCCAGCCAGCAGGGCTCAGTGCTTGAGCATCGACCTATGAACCAGGAGGTCAGGGTTCAATTCCCGGTCAGGGCACATGCCGAGGTCGTGGGCTCGACCCCCAGTGTGGGGCGTGCAGGATGCAGCCGGTCAGTGGTTCGCTCATCGTGGATGTTTCTCTCTCCCTTCCTCTTTGAAATAAATAAAAAAATACATCTTTTAAAAATGAAAAGGCCAGACAAGCCGACAAAGGGTGATAGCCCAGCAGGTAAGGATGGCGTCGACGGCTGTCAGGAGGCACACAGTCCCACAGTAAAGGGGAGAAGCTGCTTGGAAACCACAGGAGAGGGACTCCACAGGCCCAGTCACTACAGGAAGGGGCTCAGGCTCATGGCGTCCTGAGCAAGAACGTGCATCTTAAAACCAGTGAGAGCACCGCACCCCCATCTGGGGAACTGGCTCTGGGCGTCCCCTGGCCTAGTTGTGGGCATCAAGGTGTCCTCCCAGCACAGCCTGGGAGCCAGCTCCTAAAGGCTGAGCCACCTGGTGATGCAGGGTGTGTCCCAGTCCCACGTGCCCCGCAGCCAGCACTCACCAGCTTCACGCAGATGACGAAGGGCGGGCGGGCGGCTCGGAAGTGCAGGATGGGCACCCGGGGCTTGGGCTTTTCCTGGGACAAGAGGGCGGGGACGTTGCTCCTTGTGTCACCTGAGCCCTGTACCACTCCCAACTGCACAGCGCAGGCTAGACCCGGGACCCAGCCACCCCTGCCCAGCCACCTCACAGCCGCCGCGGAACCCACCCAGGTGGGTGGTGGGAGACCTGGACCTGTGAGCAGGGCTCTCCAGTGAAAAGATGGGGTGGGCACAGGTTACTCTGGGGTCCCCCAATCCCCCCAGGAGTCTGGGGGCTGTGTCTGCAGCTGCCTGGGCCCAGGTGGCCTGTCCAGGATGGCGTCTTAGAGGTGGACCAGGTGTAGTGTGGTGACCCGTGCAGGACCCAGCCCCCAGCTCAGGGGCACCAGGGGCCTCCACACCTGAGAGTCCTCGTAGCAGTAAAAGCCCTTCTTGATCTTGTTCTCGTCTACGTCGCAGAAGGCAACCACCTGGGGAGGACATAGGACGCCAGCCTTGGACAGTGGTTGGGGGTGGGGACAGGGGTGGGGG